GCGCGCTCCCAGGGAGCGCGCACAAGCAGGGTGCGGGGAGGCCGTTTATAGATGGCCACCCGACCCTGCAGTGTCACCGTCCAGCCGTTTATATGCAACGGCCGGTCGGGAAGTGGTTAACAAAAAAAGACCAAAAATTTTGAAAAAAAAAGTTTTTCTTTGTTTCTGTTATAAAAGTTTGCAAATAAATAATTGTTCTTCATAAATTTAGGTCAAGGTGTATTCTGCTACATGTTTTTGGTGAAAATAACCCAAATTAGGATGTATTTTTTAGTTTGTAGGAAAGGTATAGAGTTCACAAACTATGGTTTATGGCAGCAATGGGCAAACTACGGACCTTTTAATCCGGCCCGCGGAGCGTGGCAAACATTGCCTGTCAGGATGTGTGTAGGCGGGGCAGCGTGAGGAGCGGGGCAGCGTGAGGCGGGGCAGCAGGGGAGCTAGGCTCCTCTCACAGTCCGCCCTGAAGACCGGAACGGCGCGGGAACACGGAGAGAGGAACGCGCGGAGCAAAGGTAAGTGAATTGACACAATATGGGGAATGAATTACTATAGGGGGGATGAATTACAATGGGGGATGAATTACTATGGGGGATGAATTACTATAGGGGGGATGAATTACAATGGGGGATGAATTACTATGGGGGATGAATTACTATATGGGGGATGAATTGCTATATGGGGGATGAATTACTATATGGGGGATGAATTACTATGGGGGATTAATTACTATGGGGGATGAATTACTATATGGGGGATGAATTACTATGGGGGATGAATTACTATGGGGGATGAATTACTATATGGGGGATGAATTACTATGGGGGATGAATTACTATGGGGGATGAATTACTATATGGGGGATGAATTATTATGGGGGATGAATTTCTATGGGGGATGAATTACTATATGGGGGATGAATTACTATGGGGGATGAATTACTATATGGAGGATGAATTACTATGGGGGATGAATTACTATATGGGGGATTAATTACTATGCTTACTATGGGGGAATATTACTATACTTACTATGGATGACACATACACATCATTCATCTACTCTTGGTCCGGCCCCGGGTCAATGATATGAACCCATTGCGGCCCTCAAGTCAAAAAGTTTGCCCACCCCTGGTCTATGGTATATATTGATCAATCCTGAAGTACTGACAGCCAATCTAATTTCTTGAGGTCCAAGAATGTCAGAACAGTACAGATATCCCCCAAATGACCCCTTTTTGCAAAGTAGTCAGTCTGACGTACTTCATAAGAGGAATGGCGAGTTTTTTGAAGTTGCATTTTTTTGGCATAATGAAAAAATAAAAAAAATTTGTTTCACTATTTTTTTTTTTACATATTGTCACCAGTGCAGTACAGCGTCATCATATAACTGGCATGGCAGTGATCAGAGACACTGACTGGTGACAGTATGAAAAAAAAAAAATAATATATATTTTTTTAATTTATTTTATTATTTTTTATTAAATTTTTTATCGTTTATTTAAGATTTTTTTTCATATTTCACTATGACCAAAGTAGTACAATGTTACCATAGTTTTTTTTTTTTTTTACACAATTTGCTTATAGAAAAGAATTACTTTGCTATAAGCAAGCATTTACCTGAATGACATCGATTCATCCAGGGTTTTTTTTTTTTTTTTTTTTTGTGCTTATCTGTGATTTGGCCACAGCTAATCACATGACATGTGCATGTGATTAGCTGTTACCATTCACAGCTAGGCAGTAGTATACAATGGATGGCATGAATGAAGCCATCCATTGTATACAACTGTCATGTGACCTGCTGTGATTGGTCACAGCAGGTCAAATGGTACCGGCAACAGGGCCGATACTCAGATCTGTCATTGGCCGTGTCCGAGGTACACGGCTGGTGACAGATCGCGCCGCTGCGCCGCTTTACAGGAGCGCAATCTGCGCATGTGCGGGAGGACGCCATATGGCGTCCACCCGGAACGCTGATGACATTTGCCGCCCGCCGTTTGGCCATAGGGCGGGCGGCAAATGGTTAAATACCTTGGACTGTCTACTTTCCAAAATGGGTCATCTGGAATGTATATATACTGTGTCCCATTATACAGTATTTAGGTCATACCAGACATGCTTTAGTGTCTAACAAAAGTCCCTTACAAGAAAGGAAATATTAGTACTTTTGAAATAATAATGTATAGACCCCAGATGGGACATGGAGAATGTTTAATCTTTTGAAAATACTTGAAACTCGCAAGGTGCCCACAGTGTTGCTTATGCTAGACGCAAAAAAAAGCGTTCAACAAGGTCCATTGGAGGTACCTGCAAATAACTCTGCAGAAATTTGGATTCCAGTGATTCATATACTTAGCAATATCTGCATTATATACATATCCCTTGGCCAGTGTTTATACCTCTAATGTTATAAAGATTATAAAGATACATTTTGTAATACAAATGGAACCCGCCAGGGTTGTCCTTTATTACCACTTATATTTTCTCTTATGATGGAAGCACTGGCGGAGGCCATTAGAAGCGATAGTCACATTTCTGGTATTACAATAGCTGGTTATACGCATAAGATCAGATTGTTCAACAATGATTTTGTGCTCACATTGACCAATCCGGCCTCCAATTTGACAGGAGTCCAGGTCTCATGTGATTAATTTGGAGAAGTATAATTTTACAAACTGAATGTAACTAAACCAATTCAGGTCTCAGACATGATCCTCAAACAACTTAAACTAAAATATCCATTCCAATGGGATAGAAACTCTTTGCAATATTTAAGAATCAATCCGGCATATCCCACCTCTGATACTTATGAATCTAATTAGCCTAAATTACTCTCAAAATTAAGAAAGATTTGGATCATATATCTACAATTGAACTCTCTTGGCTGGGTAAAATAACAGCATTAAAATGACATTAATGCCCAAACTTATCTATTATTTATGAACAATCCCAATAAAAATACCAGAGAGCTTCTTTAACATAGTAAATAAAATGTTTCAAAAATTCATATGGGGAGGCATGTTGGCTAAACTACCTTCCCAGTATTACTTAAGCATAGACATAAAGGGGAATGGGTTTCCCAGCTATTCAAAACTACTATTTTTGGAGCCTTACTAGACCAGGCTTGGTTTGACCAATCTACTGGAAAACTATGGGTGCACATTGAGAAGGTGGTGGTGAACCACAGGGATTTGCCTTTGCTATTACTGGCTAAATTAACATAAAATAAACTGATATGTCCTACTTTCCCATCTATAGACGCAACCCTTGAGGTATGGGAAAAGGTTCATACCTTAACCTCCTTAGAATTACTATCAAGCTGTAAAAATCTTCCCTTACGGGTATATGAAGACCTAACTCCATCTCTTAAAGTAAAATTCTGGCTGCAAAGTAAAGTTTTCACATATAAAGATCTATCATCACAACAGACTCCTACTAAAACCTTTGCTTATTTTAAAATACACCATTTTCACATCAAAAACCCGACCATCCAATATAAGGTTAATAGCAAAATATGGGAATTCTTAAATACCAATTATGACAAGCCTAAAGGGTTGTCTTTGTTTTATTCAACTATACAACATGGAGGAAAATTTATGAAAACCTCAAGTATACTCTTGGGAGAAGGAGTATAATACAAACTTGTGAGTGGCAACAAGCAATTCAATCTCACTATATATATGCCCATTGCGTTAACCATTGGGAACTTGAATTAAAATTATTATAGAGAAACTATCTAACACCTTTAAGACTTTCACTGATATTCATGGGTGAAGCTCCTTTATGTTGGAGAGATTTCGGTACAAAAGGGAGCTTAATTCATATCAAGTGGGATTGCAAATGTCTCAGAAGCTTTTGGAACTCTATATTTAAACTTATTGCATCAGTTACTGGAATCATCTATCCTCCTAATCCTTACTTAGCTATACTAGGCCTACATATAAATACATTCCCAATTCAATTTAGATCCCTTATTAACCATATTTTAAAAGCATCCTGACTAACCATTGCTTCTCAATGGAAGTCATGGAATGCTTCAAGTATATCTAAAGTTATATACAGAGATAAAACACAATATTTGTGTGAAAAACATTTTTGCACTTTCTTCTAATACTATTCACAAATGTACTTTGAGATCGGCTGTATGGCTATGAGCTATCCAGTTAGATGATTAAGCTAAACCTGGGTCACTTATCTTTATTCTTGGAGATCTCAGGTGGTCTCTTTACACAATGTGGTACTTTGTTACTGTTTTTGATATTGTTCTTATTTTTGTATTACTTTTATTGTAACTGAAGCCAAAACTATTCTGTACATGCAGTTAGACTATAAAGGTTTATTTTCACAACCATTACAATACTAATACTAATGGAATTTTCAGTCTAAGTAAATTTCATTTAGAAATGTAATATGTATGAGATTTGAACATATTGTAATACTAAGATAATAATCAATAATAAGCAAATGTTTCTCTGTATGGTCTAAACCTTAATAAAAATTACTGAAAAGAAAAAATAATGTATAGTGTACAAGTATGATAGTTTAAAATAGACTTAGACTTTTTCTGTTAGAACTATACTTGATTGGTATTCATGACAACCAAATGGGTAAAAAAAGAGATAAAACATTATTAAAACAATCACATATATTGTTGAATTCATTTAAAATATACTGTATGTGTAATGCTATCTAATTTACTGCATTAAACTGCAATGATCAGCAATAGCTCAGTAAACACAAAAAATTGTATATGCCTTGTAATCAACATATAGTGATAAGATGATCACCCTGTATCAGCACATACAGCATGTATGGTACAAAAGATAAGTCAGCCCTAAAGGGTGGTATGTCGTTTTCAGCCAATGGGAATGCATCTTGACCATTGTTAATAGCATCCTAATGCTTTAAAAACTGGCAAGATTTTTAGTTTAACGTGGACATTTCTTGAGTTGTCAAGCTGCTCTCTAAGGCTTCCTGCACCAACTACTGATCATCACAATGAGTCTCTCTGCTAGCGAGAAGGCTGCTGTGGTTTCTTTGGTGGGCAAGGTTGCCCCTAAAGCCAATGCTCTGGGCTCTGAGGCTTTGACCAGGTAAGCTTCTTTTATTCTTGGTTGTTTTTTTATATGTATGATTCCAGTGTGCAATTTAAACTGGCTGTTTAATGTAACAGCACAGAAATTCTTAGGCTAAAGTAATAAGTTAAACTGACAAACTTTTACATGGTATATGCATTTCCAGTTATATGATCCTTGTGTATAGACTTTTTAAAAGCTAAGGTACTACTGATAAAATTTTTAACATGTCCCTTTTCTACTAAACTAAAAATAGTTTGCAGTGGAAGCCAAGCCCAAATAAAAATTAAGACATAGATGTAAGTAAGTAGTGATTGCTACTACTGCTATTTTATGTATCACACATTATGTACCATTTGTTTTTTAATTAGTTTCCATCAAGCCATGAAACAAAGAGATCATTTTTTCTCAGCTCAATTTCCTAAAGGACAGCAAAGTTTCTCTTTTGCTTGCTTTAACACCGGGGAAGGAATACAAAGTTGAGAAATTTGCTTTCCTGATGACTATGCAAACAGTCATAGTAAAAAATGTGCTTCCTGAACAGTTCGGCAGAAAATTAGTTATTTCTACAACATACCATATCATGTCATATAGCATAATATCATGTCAGAAATTCATATATATTTACATGTATTTGTATCTATTTCCTCGTTTTTCTTTAGGCTTTTCCTTGCCTTCCCCCAAACCAAAACTTATTTCGCCCACTTTGACCTGACCCCTGGCTCTGCTGACCTCAACACACATGGTGGAAAGATTATGAATGCTCTTGCAAGTGCAGCCAAAAACCTAGATAACCTTGCTGGCAACCTGTCCTCCCTCAGTGACCTGCACGCATACAACCTAAGAGTGGATCCAGGAAACTTTGCTGTAAGTACTATTGAATATTCCTATACAATAATAAGATAACTTGCATTAAAAATGCATTAGGTTTCAATGTGTTTGCAGCATTAGATAGTATTGAAACTTGTGTAGGTCTCAGTTTTGATGCTAATATTTTAAGGGCCATGCTTTAAGTGGCAAATATACTGAGAATGCTGTGGCAGTTTTTTTAGGAAAGTTTTCATGACATATATTTAGAGGATGTTATTGTTGACCTCTTTAAAAATGTTAGCTTCTGGACTGTCAAGATTGTTCTCTGCATTCAAATCAGTAAAACTCTAGATATGCATACTTGTTTTGGGTCACTAACTTGGAAGGTATTGAAGCCAGAGAGTAAACAATATATATATTATATATATATATATATATATATATATATATATATATATATATATATATATATATAATATCTAGGTAGACTATGATAGTAATTCCCCTGATTTGGAGAATTGCACCTTCCACTAGGTACTTTCATTAGATACCTTTTAAGAGAAGCAGTTTGCTCTGTAACCTTTAAGAGTACATTAAATTAAAAAAACAAATTCCAGTTTATATTGTCCATACTTTTCTGGAAATATCCATTAGACCTAATATTAAATATGGAATAACGGTGGAGCCATTGGTGCTATGTAAGATTAGTTCAGTAATTAAAAAAAAAAAAGAAATGCACAGCTCACAACCCAGGGAAGCTACTCTTGATTTACTGCACTTTGAGCATTACTGTCCTTATTAAATACTACAGGTGTGTATGTACACAGAAATAATACATCTTCTATTTCTCTTTGCAGCTGCTGGCTCACGTTATCCAGGTGGTCTTGGCTTCTCAATTCCCTAAAGATTTCACTCCTGATGTTCAGGCTGCCTGGGACAAATTCCTTGCTATAGTTGCTGCAATCCTCACCTCTAAGTACAGATAAATTCATCTTGCATACTAGGCAGCATCAGTAATTACAGCAAATTAAAAAACAAGAAATGGAGAGTTCTTTGGGCCAATTTCAATCACTATCTAACTGCAATGGTTTTTGGAGAGTATTTACTTTTGTATATTGTCCATCAAATATATACCCAATGTACCCCTGAATAAAGCCCAATATATTTTTCAATTCTGCTTCAATTGTTTCATTATTATGTTTTGTTTTTTGATGGTTTGATATTAATACATATTGATGTAGTCAATTGCTTTTTAACTTTAAAAAATCAAACCAGTTTATTGGTTTTAAAAAAAATATAACCTTTGTCTAATCAAATATTTTGAGTGAACATTGGTTTTCAGGACTGATATTGATTTGACACAATTTAGTAAACCTTATCACACCCAAATGCATTCAAAACTCCAGAGTCTAATCATTTAAAATGAATGTATAGCCAAAACGTCTGTCTTCTAGTTTTTGGAGACAGTTGTGAGGTGTTAAATGCTTGTCAGTGAGGTGTTAAATGCTTGTCACGTTTTTGTTGCTCTGTGTCTCGAGTTGGTAGAGTTCCCCTCTATTTCTCCTGATAAACATCAGCAGGACAAAAAGTAATGGGACATATAAAACGTTCAGCCTTTTGGAGTTATCACCAAGGAAGGAGGAGGTGAGGAAAAATGTTTTAATGGGGACATTTGTTCTGGTAGCAGCTGTCTTAGATGGGAATTCTCCTTAGTTTGGAGAGATTTCCTCTTATTTCCTATTTAATCTCTTGGGCAAGCAATTAAGTAAAATCTCCTCAATAGGATGCAGATATGAAACAAAGAGAAACTCTTAGAGGTTTTAAACCTTCCCTAGTCATAACTGAAATTAAAAATGACTATACATACACTTTAATGGTAAATTAAGCAGTATAAAATATGCATAAGGCAATAAGCATTTCCACCCATTTATAACATCTCCTAAAACACTATACAATCAGATTGTATAATCTCCTTTAGATTTACCAAAACTATGTGATAATATAAGGCTAAGCCTAAGCAATCCATTCACATGGTATTGCAGTAAATCAGGCAGACCCTTGCACTACGTAGTTGATGATAGATCTAAAAGAGAGTTAAATCAGATTATGCATATGGCCAGCCTTACTCTACTCTCTACATCCCTTGATCTAATGTTTTAAATTGACCTGTTCAGCTTCCCTACTTTTCTTAAAGGAAAAACAAAACCTACGTGTTCTGGGTTTGTACCCCACACATGCTGTACACATATGGATAATATCTTCAGGGTCTTGTTTGTGCATGCCAACATAGCCTTTTGGTTGAACTATAAGATGCCAGTGAAGTTACAGAGCCATGCATATACCAGGTTGCTGTTGAGTGTCAGTGAAATTTTTCCATGCATAATGCAATGTTCCAGATTGCTGCCTTCACTGCCAGTGCAATCTGTCTGGGTCTTGTTTGCTACTACCCCTACTGAGTTTGTGCATTTTTTTGTAATACAATGGGGTTGACTTATTAAAACTGGAGAGTCCAAATCTGGTGCAGCTCTGTATAAAAATAAATCAGTGTCCTGGTTTTATTGCCAAAGCTTAAGTGAACAAGCTGAAGCAAGAAGCCGATTGGCTACCATACACAGCTGCATCAGATTTTGCACTCTCCAGTTTTATTAAATAACCCCCAATGTATTGGGTGATAACAGTTCATTCGCTCTTTGTCTATATACTATATATGCTTACAGCCCCTCCCTCTTACTGTAGATTGTAAGCTCCAAGGAGCAGAGCCCTCCTATCCCTCTTGTATTGAACTGTATTGTTGCTGTATTGTCTCCATTTATATTGTAAAGCACTTAGAAAACTGTTGGCGTTATATAAATCCTGTATAATAATAATAATGTGCTTACAAGCAAACCACTAACAAAGGAGGATGACAGTTGGATCTACTGTTCCAAATTTTGGTTCTAGGAGTACTGAGGCAGTGTACGCAATCTGGGTTATGGCCCCTCCATCCTTCCATCTCCTACCTTAAGCCTCGTACACATGATGAGAATGTCTTTTTTTGGCATGCTAGTCTCCATATCGAAAACAAAGAGGTTACTCAACTAATGAAAATTCTCATACGACAGAATAGAATTTTGGAAATGATGTCATGTGTATTGTATTTTGGGATGAAAACTGTGCTGATTAACCACTTGCCCTCTGACAAATGCGAGGTCATACAACACTGCACCCAAATGAAATGTATGTCTTTTTTTTCCCATGAATTGAGCTTTCTTTTGAATGTATTTGATTACCTGTGCATTTTTATTTTTTGAGCTATTAAAAAAAAAAAGACCAACAATTTTGAGAAAAAAAATTTTTTTTACTTTTTGCTATTAAACACGTCCAGTAAAAAATTGAAAAAATCTAATTTCATCATACATTTAGGCCAAAATGTATGCTGTTACATGTCTTTGCTAACAAAAATCACAATACGTGTAAATTAATTGGTTTACATGAAAGTTATAGCGTTTGCAAATGGCAGTATATATACTGGAATTTTTTTACTAATAATGGCGGCAATCAGCGACTTATATCGGGATGTCAGGACTGCAGCAGGCATTCTGGCACTGGGGGAAACTGACTTGATGTCACTGACATTCCCAGTGACACCAATACAATGATCAGTGCTAAGAAAAAAAAAAAAACTGACACTGTACTAATGGCACTGGGTAGGAAGGGGTTAACATGAGGGGTGATCAAAGGGTTAACTGTGTGCTGGGAGTGTTTTACTGGGGGGTGCTGTGTTGGTGCTTCACTGTAAGCACACTGCTCTGGATGGCTGTGACAGGGAAGAGGACTGTTAGTAAACATAGCAGTCCTCCTTCCTGATGGAGATGCTCGGTAATCATCGGGTGCCGGCGGGTAATCACCGGCCTGGATCCGGTGATTGAAAGCTGTGGCCGCGAATGGTGGTGTGGGTAGGGTGCACATGCGCCCCTTACCCGGAGATGCAAAATCTTGTATATATACTGTATGTGATTTTGCGCACCCCTGCGGCAGGGGAGTGGTTAAACAAAAATCGTATGATCTGGTATCATGCAGGAATAACTTTTGTGGTTATTCCTTTGGATAATTTTGGATGAACTGTCATGATCTCTCTCGAAAGCTGTGCACTAATGATCGTATTATCGTACGACCATTTCGAAAGCGATAATTTTTGTACTATTTTCTGATAGTGTGTATGAGGCTTTAGTGTGCCTTGTGTGGCTAAGATATTTGGCCTTGTTAGTATGATACTGAAGCTAGCCATACATAAATAAAATTCCTTGCTCATCTCCTGCTGTATCAGCCTTAAATTTGATCTTTGGATGGTTCTGCCAGCACCACCTGGCTTGATAAACTTTGATTTAAAGGTCAAAGGGGCTGGGAGAAAAATTGTCAGCAGGACATGGACTATTTATCTGCAGACAATGGTCAGGTATTCTGATAGTCAGCAGGGTTGGAAAAGTAGATTTGCTTTTTAGTGTAGAATCTGTTGGAAATTTACAGTATGTGTGTATGGCCAGCTTTAGTCCAGTCAATCAAATTGGGTAGGAAAGGGGAGGCCCAAAACAGTAGTTCCAGTTTAGTATTAACTCCAGGATGTTGTCATAACTGAAAGCAACACTTTGTGTTTATTTGTTTTAAATAGAGTGGAAAGGGAATACAATACCTGCCAGTGATGTCTTGGCATACCAGGTTGGCTCAGGATCAGGGGATGTTAAGGAACTGGACTCACCGTCCTGATGTTAAAAGAAGATCTCCTCTTATGCATCAGGTGGCCCAGGTCCTTGTGTAACATGGGCCTTTGGTGTTCATATGCATCCCAGAGCCTTAACCTAGACCATGGGTAAGACACAAACTTGTGCAAGGAAGTGCTGCAGGCAATAGGGGGTTAAGGACTATGACTAGGAGGATGAGATGGAGTGGAGGCCTATGGCCTGCTTCTGTGCATGTCATCATTTTGTGAGATAAATTATAGAGTGGCCCTGAGGCTCTGCACGTAAGAGGGACTCAGGCTGCATGTGTTGGTCATATGTATGACAATGGGGTGCTCTGCCTACATTTTGGCCTAGTTGGCTGAATTCATTGGGATTCACTGAAGAAGAAGGAGGAGGTGGAATCTATGAAGTCATTTTATTCTGAGTGTTTGGAAAATGAAAAAGAAACAGGAGGCTGGGTGCTTTAAATAGCTGTGACGCTGTACACATGCAAAGATGTGCATGTGAAGATATCCATGATGGAAGGTAATACTGCCAGACATGTGCTGCTTGGACACCAGTCTCGGGTTTCAGTCCAAACACACTTTAGTCCTATACTGAGAGAGGCCAAAATAGGTTTTATTACCAATGTGTGGGACTTGCATCGCAACACCGCTGGATGTGGAGCCTTGGGCCATGTGCAAGTTGTGCAGTGGTTACTTGTATGCTATATTGCTGGGGAGAGAGGAAACAAAGGAGTATGGACAAAGTGCAGTGTCCATACCTTTTAGAAGAGAATGTGCCAACGTCACTGGATGTAGAACCTTCGGCCAGATGTAAGTTGTGCAGTGGCTAACTGTATTGCTGGAGAGAGAGGCGACACAAGACTTGGTGCATCCAAAGGTAGCAATAAGAGCCAGCCGTGTCCATCCATTTTGGAAGATAGTGTACCCAGAGGAGGATCCCTCAATTGTCCTCCCTAGCCCACTGTTGATCTTCAAAGCTGTGGCAGAGTTAGTGATTGGGAGGTTGGAGGTTTCATAGGAAGCCACTGAGCCTGAGCGCTGGGACGCAGTTGAGGCTGTCTTGGAGGGACTAGTGGACTGGGCTACACTGTCCTCTTTGAGGATTGGAGCCAAAACTGCAATAACCAAATTTCCCTGTAAGTTCAGAGACTACCCTGTTACAGGTTGTTACAGGTTGTCAAGACAGACTAAAGTCTTCCAGTGCCTTTTCTTCAGAAACTACAGCCTTGCCTGCTCCAAGGAGAGTGACAAGGATGGGCTCTT